TTTCACTGTGCTATCAAGTTTTGGACGCAATCCGTCAAAGAGAAGAGAACAAAATGCATACTAGATTGTCTTCCCTGTGCTACAATATTTAACCTAGTTAGTTTAGTTATGTTTACGTACCGTTTCGCAACAGCACAGGAACTATTTTGGGATGTACCTCGTCATTTTAAATCGCGGTCAGATGACGAGGGCGTCACCTGAGCCGTCACCCTTTCCTCCAAACTTTCGTACCACACCAGTGGGAGGACATTTGACCCCGACGAATTTAACCCTTTTAGAGCTGACCGTAAGTATCGTACCTATGTGAAGAATGCCGGAGCAATTTGTCGAATTTGCTAAGATTTGGGGAAAAGCTCATAAAAACAAAATAAGAATCATGCTTACAAAGTTCAAAAAGGAGTCAAAGTTCAATTGTATTTCAATATTTGTTGAAAGTCATACGAACGACATAAATAAAACATTATGAAAAACAGAAAAATCAAATATTGACTTATAATTTTAATCGAATATAATTAATATTAATCGAATATTATTATTAATATATAACATTAATCGAATATTATTAATCAATCGAATATATTAATAAAACCATTTATAGCGTTTTATAAATCTATTTTGAGATAGAGTTCTCTCGCTATCCGAATTGTAAGACGCCATCGCATACGCAACGATACATGGTCGTTGGTACTTTTCGCTTTTATAAATTTATTTTGAGATAGAGTTCTCTCGCGATCCGAATTGTAAGACACCATCGCATACGCAACGATACATGGTCGTTGGTACTTTTCGCTTTTATAAATTTATTTTGAGATAGAGTTCTCTCGCGATCCGAATTGTAAGGCGCCATGGCATACGCAACGATATGTGGTCGTTGGTACTTTTCGCTTTTATAAATTTATTTTGAGATAGAGTTCTCTCGCGATCCGAATTGTAAGGCGCCATGGCATACGCAACAATGCATGGTCGTTGGTACTTTTCGCAAGTGTTGTGAACGACGATATATCGTGGCGTATGCGATGGTCGTTCGTCGATATATCGTCGTTCGGCACTAAAAGGGTTAACGTGCAACAGACCAGCTTACACGGCGGTTCTTCGATGGAATAGAACTCTCTGACCCCGGAGCCTAAACCTTACCACCAGGCCACCTCAACCCTAAAACTTAACCCAAGCTGCGTCATGCTGTGTAAATATACAAGAAAATCGCTGGGAGAACAATCCCGCTGGTTTCAGAAAAAATAACGCTTAAAATCAATCGGTTGACAGCTCCGGAAAATGATGTCAGAAACAGAGGAAACTGCAAAAAGAAATTCTGTCCCTTCCCAAAATAAAGAAAGGAAAAAGATCGGTCAATAAAAGAGATTTGTCTTGACAAATTGCCCATCGGGAGGTGTGAAGAATGAGAAATCGATTACGAAGAGCAAGTCTTCCGGGAGAAGAAGAACAATTCAAAACTTCGCCTTTTCTTTCTAAGAAGGAGAAAGACGACGAGTGGAGCGAAAGCATTTCAAAAATCATTAACAAATACTGATGGCCGGGAAGAGAATATCTTTTTAAAAGATGCTGCTTCGTAAATTAAAAAGGGAGAGAGAGAAAGCGAAAAATAAAAAAGGATTTTGCGTTTACAATTTGTTTCTTACAGTCATTTTTCCCACCCGTCTCTCTTCGTTTTTCATAAATTGAAGGCTTCGGAACGCCGGGAAAAATAATGGAGGCTAATTGATTCTAAAATTATTTATTGATTTTTTTTATTCAAAGAGATAGGAACACTCTAGAAATTAAAGGTCAGGCTCTTTAATTTAAAGGGAGCCACCCATAAACCATCAGAAGAGGACCAGCTTTGATAATAATAGGTTTGCGTTAATGGTCTGCTCTTCTTTTTAGAGGTTTAAATCGCTTCTGCTCGCGAATTTCTCTTTTTAATGTTGATAGTTAATTATTACTAGATTTAATAACAAAAATTGTTTCTAAAAACACACTTTTGTTGGAGTACTAAAACGTAGAAATTATTTTTATTTTAATTACTTTCTACTTTTTGGTCTTTAATTTATAATTCATTATGATGGATATAATGGAATCGTGCAATCATTTTTTTAAAAAATTAAATACGAGAATGGTACCACACTTATGAGATCACAATTTAATTAAATTAAATGCTAAGTTCCGAAAATATTAAAATAATTCATTGCCATTGGCAAGAAACAGAGCGCAAAAAATTGAATTCATTTCTTTTTTCTGAAATTAAATACGAGAATGGTACCACACTTATGAGATCACAATTTAATGAAATCAAATGCTAAGTTCCGAAAATATTAAAATAATGCAATGCCATTGGCAGCAAACAGAGCGCAAAAAATTGCGTTTTGGAATTATCGTGTGTTCATACATGCGAACGAACAAACAGACTTCCTGCGGATTATTTCATTCCAAATTTGATAGAGCTTTACAATTTAGGTGTGAAGACCACATACCAAATTCCAGACATCTGTTTCATTGCGTGCCAACTACCATACCATGCTGACAGCACCGGTTCTCGTCTGATCATCGCAGTTAAGTAACATCCGGCCCTATCAGTACTTGGGAGGGTGACCCCTGGGAACACGGCGTGCTGTTGGCATCTTTTTGTCCCATGTCCACCCAACTGGTTCAGTAACCGCTATGGTTACAGGCACAGGGACGTGGGGAGGCGTTCTGTCTCATTCTGTTTTTTTTTTTTTTTTTTTTGAGTTATTGTGCTTATTGACAGACAGATATAATTAATTTTTTTTCCAACTGCTGG